CTCTAAAACAGATATTCAGCAAGTAGAGAAAAATACAGAGAGAAAAAATGCATAAATTCACCTTCTGAAAATAGCATCTGCCCCATTTCCCTTGAGTAAATTTTTAGCATTGGCTGGTTTATAGAAAATATTCTCCCTTCATCTAAACATCTCAGAGAGCAATAGCTCTCATGAAAAGCAATCACTAATCTCACTGGGAAGTGTTGGAAAGTATTTCTTGATGAGCTGGGGGTTATCTATTGATAAGGAAAGAGAAGAATTTAGGAGAAATCATTGCAAGAAATGGCTAACAATCTCTGAAGACTTTTTTAACTTTATATAGTCTTTATGAATATCTTAATGTTCAAAAATGACTTGGTTCTTTCTTCTTCTTTTATATTGGAATAGGGGTGATAAGTTAAACCCAAATAGACTTTAAAACTATAGGCTAGATAGAATGTACGTTTGACTTGTCAAAACTCACTATCTAAAATGTTTTTGCTATTTTTAACCTTAAAAGATTGTACTAATATTCGAGACAGATCCTGTTAGCGCTCTTCTTTGGAAAGAGCATTCCCACTCAAATCACCTGGGCTTTCCCAGCAATGTTTTCAAAAGATAAATCTGACTTACGCATCATTGTGGCATCATTGACTTTAAAATTTTAATTTTTTCAAATAGAAGAATTGTGATTCTTTATGCCCCTCTCTTGCAATGATCAGAAAGTCCAGAAACTGAGGAGGCAAAAACAAGAAGAAAATTTTGTTGGTTCTTTGTTGTTGGTTTGTTTGTTTTCAATGCTAGTGTTTAATCCTATAATACATATTTGCTTATCAATACTTTAATTATCTAAAAGACTTTCCTGTTAGGTATTAGGAACTGATGCATAGATATCTTCTTTTTTTGTATGATTTTTTTTAAAGGAGATGAGAAGACTGTCTGAAGCTTTGAGTGCGTATGGTACAAGATAAAGATATCAATTTAAATAACTAAGTCCTATCTGGAACAATATTTTGCTTTAGGAAACCTCTTCCTAGATAAGACAGAGGCCCAAGGAATTTTGGAAACTGTCTTTATTCCTCCCAGGCCTTATTCATTTAGTATCTGTCTCAAAAATATAGAGACGGCCTAGAATTAAAGGGACCACTTTAAAAACATAAGTTTTACATTTTGCTTCTTAATTTCTGATTACTCCTTGACCTTCAACATGGCCCCTCTTTTTCCCCGTTCTTCAGCTGTCATTGATAAGGTCTTTTGAGGGGGAGAAAAAGGAACATTTTTTTTAATTTAAAAAATGAAAACACAAAAGCCCAAATCCCACTGCCCAGTTGAAATATGAGTTAACATGGAGGACACAGAGTTCCTCCTACTTAACCCACAGAATCACCTTCAAAATGATCTTTCAAAAAGATCCTTAGAATCTGCCCTCTTTTTTTAATTGCCCAGGCCAACAGTACCTGAAAAATAAATATCACTCATTTTCTTTTGCCCAACATACACTGATGTAAAAGTAGGAAAACTGAAAACAGAACTCCAAAATCCCTCCCAAGCCCCCCACTGGCCCTACTCACTCACCCTCACTCACTGGTGGCCAAGCCACTTCCACTAATCCCTTAATCTGAGTTCTTTGGGATATTTATCTTGTACCTGCTGCTATACACACTGCAGGAGGGACTCTGGAACCTCAAGCATCTCCTCACATCTCTCACCTGTGTCTGTGTATCATTAACATGTCTATTCAAAACTTTCAACAACTTTCAAACATCATGCAGCTCAGATTCAGTTTACATAAGGGCCCCAAATACCATGTGAGATCTCTTTTTGCTAAGAGGGTTAATAAACTCTGAGAAATGGGATTACATCATGTGTTTTGCTTCATATGTTTTTATCACACTAACAGGCCAAGTGTGATAAATAAACTTACAGACACTGAATTAATTTTTCCGGCTACTCTGAAAGCAGAAAATGGGGTTCAATGACTTGGTCATTCATTACATCTGTCTTTGTGCACAAGCATATTTTTTATTAAGTGAACTCTGATTGTATTTGAAATTATTATTCATTTATGGCAGAGGAATATCAATCCTAATGACTTCTAAAAATGTAACTAACTGAATCATTATCTTACATTTACTGTTTAATAAGCATATTTTGAAAATGTATGGCTAGAGCATCATAATAAAGTGATATATCTTTCTTTAGTAATCACATTAAAATTGATTCTGTTTGATTAATTTGTTCTTTTTGGACAATGTTTGTGTAACGTGTCATTCCTGAAGAATTTTATTGTTATCTAGCATTTTAACAATACCAATTGTTAAAATACCAATTAATACATTCTTGTTCAATTTGGTTTCACACACTACAGGCAGATTTATAGCCCATTGCACCTTTGAGTGATAAGCTATTTTTGAACATGACATCATTAAGATAAGTAAGCATTTCTGCTCAATAACCATGCATCTACCTGGGTTTTCAATCTTATCCTGCCCATCCGCCGCCCTGTTCACATTGCAACGTCAGTCACAGTCCCTCACGCGGTGTGTATGACCTCCAATGGTAAACCAACCTCAGATACCGCAGTGAGAAAGGATATGTCTTGGGCCATCATACAGCCCAGAAATAAAACATTTCCACAGAAAGCTATAAGCTAATCATAAAGAATCTTTCCAAAAGCTCTGACAACTACCCACCCATGGTTTTCTTGACAGCTTATCAAAGGCAGTGTGGTCTCAAGGGATGTGGCTGAATCAGGGCTCCCAGAGACAAAACTGTGGACTCAAGGAGTGAGGTTCGTGACACCCACATTCCTACATCCCTGCCCTTCAATAAAGCCTCAGGCATCCCACTCCAGGGTTCCCAATGGGTACAGTGCTAGTTCTAAATAGCATTTTGGAAAGGTTCGGGGACATTTGGGGTTGTCACTCACAGGGATGAGGAGGGCACTCTTGGGACTCTAGACATTTCATGTAGATGACACCTAAGCCTAAAACATATTTCCAATTTATTTATTAACTCAAAGTATTTTTGCATTATTTTAATATAAGCCGGATCTTCTGGAAATGGAATGCCCATGTTAAATCAAAGGGAAGGTGGTGCTTTATTTCATTTGGAACTTTACCAAGTGCCGTCCACTGTCTTAGGAAAAATGTCATGGATGCCACTCTCCAGCTGTGTCGGTCTTCTAGAAGCTGGCACAGCCAGGATTCGCCACATCGGTGGAAACATCTGGCCACTTCATTTCACTCTCAAATACAGTTATGCCTGAGCACATTTGTCTTGTAATGCATGTTACTTTATTATAAATAGTTTTTTATTTAGTTCTCCCTGATATTACAACACGGGCATCATTTTGATTTTTGTTAGAATTGTATAGGTCAACATTACCTATGAATTTCACTTTGGGACATTAAAAGGTATATCGTAAAATAATTGTTATAAAAAAAGAGAGCTTTGGGTCTGATA